TTAACCAATCAGAACACACCTCCACCCAATCAGAACACAGCCAAGCTCCCACCCAATCAGATCAAACCCCACTGGCAGTTAAAAGGAAGAAACAGCTGCGATCACACACTACTCCTAGAAGCACGAAGCTGAAGACACCAGCCTGAAGATGACGAATGTGACTTCGTCGAAACGTCGCCAAGACACTTCCAATTTTACGCGGGAGAAAACCCGATTAACCAAAGACCTACATATATATATATATATATACATTCATACATGTATACAGTCATACATGTATACATTCATATACATATATACACATACACACCCTTTTGTAATTTAAATAGATACAATTCAGTGGCAACTTTTAGAAGTGATCTGGAAGATAATCAAAGTTACATAATGGCCACATTTGACCAGAGGCGCCTGTTGTAAACCCTAGTTCTTATCATCGGGACTGTTTATCTTATCATCAAGACTGTTTATTACACAAATAATTCTTGCTGATTAGCAGAGAATGGAGATAGATAATTTTCTATCTCTTTTATCCTATAAAAAAGTTTAGTTCCACTATTACATCTATGCATACTGGAAGGACAGATGCCTAAGGAATACATGGATAAAAGCTATTAAGGCAAATGTTATTTTAACTGTCGCTTAAGTTTGTTTCCATATACAGTGTACCCCCACCCTGAAGCTACACATGGATTTAATATAAGAAGTATTAAAATCCTTGTAAATTATTGCAACTTAGCATTAAACACTAAAAATGTCTAGGAGTTCCATATCAATATCATTCTATCATCCTTTCTATGTGTTAGATAAACAGATATAGGAATTGAAAAGGCAAATGACCTCCCAGCTACCCTCCCCCATTCTTCTTAAACTGGGAAGGAGAGAGAATGTCTCCCAAGTCAACTCCATATTGTTTGAAAATTATAATAGGAAGATAACATACAGTTTTATGGAAGTACAGAGGTTGCTCAATTCATAGGGTGTCCATGTTCAGATTTAAAGAATATTGCCTCATAATGATTCCATTTGAATGACTGGCCAGTCTAAGTCCACTTTAAAGATGTTTGAAGGAGAAGGATTCTGTCTGAACATGAGTGTTTCTAAGAATGGGAATTTAACCTGAGCAATAATGAGTTAAGCAGATTGTAAAGCTATAACAGAAAGATTTATTTGAAGAATATTACAGGGATAGGCAATACTTAGTGATATTCTACTCGCTGAAAGCACATGTCCAAATAACGAGTCATTGAGCACCCCAATCCCTTTTTCACATATAGTGATGGCATGTGGAAATGACCTAGGGTGATCTTGCCGAGACAACAAGATGCAGCTAAGGGAACAGTAGGAAATATGCTAGCTTAGTCCACAACAGAATGTGGGGGGGGGGGGGGGCAGAAGCTCAGAAGAGACACACACACCCAGGAGACAGGGGAAGAGAAATCCTTCCAGATTTTCAAGATTCTGTTAATGTAATCTTACAATAAAGTAAGGTCATGTTTCCTGTCTGATCTACCTAATACATATTCTATAAACATTAAGACTAATACATATTCTATAAACATTATACAAACAAGGGGTGGATTTTTTTCTCTGTATTTATTATTTAAGTACAAAAAAACCAAAAAAGAATACAAATGTATAAAAGGGGGGAGCTGAAAAAAATATACAACAGATAAGGTAGGAGAATGGAGTTGGGTGAGGGGCTACCAGAATGTCCTCTTTATAATTTTATAATTTTCATTTTTTTTCACTATGTTTAATTATGTATATTTTACTTTTACCTATTGGGAGGGGGCTTGTATGTTTTACTTAACCAATAAAGAAAGAGAGGTTCAAACAACTCCAAAACTTTCTATAGATTTTTAAGTGATATCCTTTTCAACATGAAATATTTTTGAAATGAATTCATTGCATTTATGTGGTTGGAGATGCAATGAAATTAACACTTAATTTAAATCTATTGTTCTATTTCGGTAAATAGCAATTGCACATATTAACTCTTCTTTGAGATTTAATATTTGCTATCACATGGAAGTTGACATCTGGACAAAAAAACATGAACTTACAGTCAAAAGACTTATTGTACAGTATTGGAAAAACAAACATATGGCTCCAATTATTCAACGCTTTGCAGAATTGATTAATGTAGATAATTATGATTTCAGTTTATTGATATCTGTGTGATAAGGAGTGGGCCTTTGATTGCCTGGTTGCACCCAACATTTTTATATCATTAATCACCCTTGCTGTCAGCCATTCAAGGTTTTTCAGATTAGGAAACAGACTCCATAAAAAAACTAGAACGATACTTTATTGAGTTAGTATAATAACAGAATCCTGCAAGTCTGCATTTTCCCTTCCTCTCGTCTTAGACCCAGGGAGTTAGGGAGGAGCCAGTCTGAATCCCTTCCAAATACTTTGTTTTTCTCCAGGGCTGAAGGAATGCATCTCCATCTTCTGTTCTTGTAACAGTTTCTGAATATTTTCTCCAAAATCGTTTCCAGGATTCCTGATACCCGCAGGCACCTGGAAAGCACTAGATGAATTTGTGTCTGAGAAGTGATCTAAGATTAGCAGTCTCTTAGACCAGTGTTTCTCAACCTTGACAATTTTAAGGCATGTGGACTTCAACTCCCAGAATTCCACAGCCAGCATTGCTGGCTGTGGAATTCTGGGAGTTGAAGTCCACATGCCTTAAAATTGTCAAGGTTGAGAAACAGTGTCTTAGACCAACAGCAAGTAGTGACAGACAAAGAGATGACATGGAATAACTTCAAGGAAGCAAGGAAGCAAAAATAGGGAGAAGGACATATTTATCCCTGTCCTGCCTTCCCACCCGAAGGCAGGACAAGAAGCAATGGATTGAAACTAATCAAGGAGAGAACCAACCTAGAACAAAAGAGAAATTTCCTGACAGCTGGAGTGACTTGCCTACAGAAATTGTGGGTGCTCCAACACTGGAGATTTTAAAGAAGAGATTGAACAATCATTGTCTAAAAAGACAAAACTGATCCCTCACACTTCACTTAAAGAAGCTGATTGAACTCACAGCTTGAGCAGGGAGTGCACTAGAAGACCTGCAAGGTCCCTTCCATTATACTGTTATTCTGTTTAAGGAACTTTGGGTGGTGGATGCAACACCAGCTTTGAAGACTGGTACACCCAGCCCTAAGTTAATATTACAGATGAATTCCTAAAATTGAGATGGAAGAAGACACTATGATATGAAATGTCTAATATTATCAAGAGGGGCTCACTCCTCTCATCCAGATTTCAAAAGTGGTCATCTACAGGAACAACCAATATTATTTCCACCCCATATCCAAGCCTGAATCCTAACTAGAAAAGATCCAGATAATGCTCTTCATCTCTGATCCTCTGTAGATGATGCCCCTCCACATTCTGTAGAATCTTTCTCTGAAAGAGAGGATTGGGAACTGGACCGAAGTTCATCAGGTTCCACAAGATCAAAACAATCCCAGATTACAGTAGAAGGCACAGTCCTAATCAAATAGCCTAACTGCCCAATTGAGGTCCAGATCCAAGTGAATATGAGTGAAAACATACAATCATCACAGCAGCCTGCAAACATGATGGCTCATCTCACCTTCCCTAAAAGTTTCCTGATAACCCTATACAGGAGAGGTAGATAAGAATTCTTACATGCCATAAGTACAGAAAAAGAAGATATTTTCCACTCTGAGAAATCTGGGTAGGCTTTCAAGATTCGGTGGTTATATTGTACAATAATATAGTATTGTTACATCCTTGTGGTGTCTATTTCCTGACCTGACCTACATTAAAGTGCTGATAAAAAACCATCTTGGTAGTGATAAGTAACACCAAGCACTAAGTAACCTTCTTGGTGATAAGTAACTGGGATAAGAATCCCAATAATGTATCCCTGGGATTACTTCACCTCTGGATGAAATAATGGTCAGTTAAATCACCAGCGGGTAACCAAAGGCCTCCTGTCCCAGAGGGACATCCTATCTCGTAGCCTCTAGGGAGATTGGGTTAAAGTGCAAATGTAAATGGACTTTTCCCCCATTTGCTTTTAAATATACTGACTTAGAGGCAACTTGACTTTGTCCTCTTGCAGAAAACCCCACAGTTCCATAAGCTTTCACTTTTATAGTATGTAACACCAAGAATAAAGGGATTCTGATCCATTGACAAAGGTATATTTAATCTAAGGAAGAAATTGAAGTAAAGGTAACACATACAAAATCAAGCATGAACATTGCTTTCAGCTGCTTCCACTACAAGCTGGAATGAGATACAGCCAATGTCCTAAGGATGTGTCATATACAACAGTAAAGTATTCATACTGCAGTTAGGGGAATAGCAATAACACTTAGACTTATATATCGTTTCATAGTACTTTACAGACCTTTCTAAGCAGTGTACACAATCTGCATATTGTCCCCAATAATCTGTGTCCTAATTTTACCAACCTCGGAAGGATGGAAAGCTGAATGTGAAGATGAGGTCACGGTCTTCCCAACTATGGGAAGCGGTATTTCTATTTAAATGAAAACAACCACTCCCAATTTGCATACAAATTTTTGAAAACTTTTTGGGTAATATATAAATTGCAATAAGAAGTAGGGATGTAATCAACTTTTTCTTTATGGAGAATCCGCTTCTGAGCACCCTGGCTCAGGAATTCTGGGAGTTGAAGTCCACAAGTCAT